ACAAAACTTCAAAATTAAGCATCTTCCTGATATTCAGCAACTCCCCTAGTAAGGAATATTTTCATCAAATCCATAATTAGAGACTTACAAATATGTATCCATATAAATAATTTGAATGAAAGGTCTCACAAAGACTCTAAAAGAAGAGAAATCTTCTTCACACAACTCCTGCTTAAAGTCTAAATTCATTAAGGAGATTATTCTTTCTTTCCAGGGGTGCCCTATTAGAAAAGACAAGCCAAGGTGGAAGACAGCTGTGCACGGCTGGAAGGGTGTGAGCTTTCTACCAGCCTATAAGTACCAGCACCATAAGTGTCTTATGGTTGGAATTTGTGGTGAGAAGGAGAAAGAAGGGAGAGAACAAGATTAGTAATTAACTTCCAAGTACTGCCAAAATGAAGCTGAGGAGAGGATATAACATACACATACACACTCCTACTACTGTCTTAGGAAAGTAAATGTGGAAACAAGTAGCTCAGATCTTACTAAAAACCATGCTGTTGTATATACACATCTGCCTCTTTTCAATTTTAATAGTGGTATTTTATTATATTTTCTCCAGTTTGTAGTAATTTTTTAATGTGTTATATTGGAAGTGTGCTTTACTTTTTTTAGGACATAATTAATAGTAAATTGCTTTAACAAAAAAGTAGAATCTAAATTTCATGTCATAAAAATTGTGTACGAAGTGATTGTGTCCTACCTGAAGACAAACAAGGATGAAAATTATTTATGAAGAGATTTCATGTTTAACTATGGAGACAGAAAGAGTTATAAAACTCATTTAGAAGTTAAAGTTCTGAGAAAAGGACTTGCTGAAGACAAAAGCTAACACTGACTTGAAATGAACCTCAGCATTTATGTTAATGAAGCCTGCAGGAGTTTCAGCATCACCCTTTGATGCCTTCTGTTTAATTCCCTTCAGCAGGAGATAAGTGCATATATGCCCTGAAGACCTGAGTGTCAGCAATTCGTACAATCAGACGTTGTTTCTGAATCTTTGAATCTTATGAGGGCGGTATCACAGTAGCATTTATGCATGTAAGTTTCTATTGATATCAGTACAGTTGGGAACAACTTTAAATAGGCTACATTGTGTATGTATATGTCTAACTAAGCCAATCACACTGGGCTCCTGTGATGAGAAGATGGGCCCTTCCAGTGCACCTCATATGAAAATTCACATAAAAAACTGTTGAGTGTATCACATTCTGTGTTCACCTGGAAGTAAGTGAGAGAGCTTCCTTGTAGGTTGTTGCTTAACTTGCTTTAGTGATCAGGATTGTTCAGAAGGAGCAACTATAGAAAGAACTAAATACCTTCACTTAAATTTATGGGGATTTTTCTCATTTTTTTCTCAGAGGAAAAAAGTCATCTGGTACCTGGGTTTTGTTTGGCATCAATTTTTATTGCCTTCTTTAGTTATTATTTTGTCTTCCAAACAGCAACATTAAACTCATATTTTCAGCTTTTAGCACAGAAAAATATAGGGTTAAAATTGAAAACCACTTTGTGAAAAGAGGAAAATTGTAATGCCGAGCTTGCTAGTGTGAAATGCAAATGCGTTTTTCTTCCCTTGGTATGTTTATTCCAGCAGTGATATCAGCATACCATTCACTGGCACAAATCAGTATGCCTCTTTCTCAACAGTATGTACATATTCTTTCTCTATGTATAGATGCACAGAAAAGAAATAGACGCAAAAATCTGAGACAAGTGAATTTATTTTCAGTTTTTCATTACACCACTGGTCTTTTTCCCAACTTGAACAGCTGACAATCTATTGTGAATGACAGAAGTAGAAACATATTCTGCATAATAGAAAACTAAATGAAAAAGTACCCTAAATAACACGCACTTTGCCAGTCAAGACATCTGGAAGATTTACAGGACACAAAGATAAAATTTGCAGGTATCAAGAATTTCCAACAAAGTAACAAATATATTCCCTCTTTCAACACTTGTGCTGTGTAAGTACTTAAAAGAAGTCATTTATTTTCCCTAATCTCTTTCATTCTTCATGTGATCCAGTTTGTGATTATCTCCCATTTCTGTTCTCATTCATTGTATTTATAATTATTTTTTAAAAGTATTTTTATTTCTTTCCAGAATTCTAGCATATTAACATATACTTCTGCCTGACTTTCAGCTGCTATAATTTTCTCAGTTGTGTCTATGCTAAGCAAAACTATATTTCACGTTCTATTGTATTAAGAGAGTTTGCAAACATTGTTCCTGTACACATCTTTTCTAGTGTGATAGTTCACTAGTGCAGTCTTTGGAAACCCTGACAGTCAGCAGACAGCTTCCAAGGTCAAGAATCATAGAGAGGAAGTTCTTCTATGATAGCAGAATTCCCAAACTCCCTGACCACCATAGATAGATAAAACAAAGTGACATCAATAACCATAGTTTCTCTATTTTCTGGTAACAGTGACAATTCAGGGGTCTTCTAGTTTATAATGTGAAGTGCTGGAGAAAATTAGGTTTCTTCACTGTTGGTAGCACTGGTTCCACCTAAAGCATTCCCTTCCTCTCATGAGGATTTGAAGGATCCTAGTCAGTTTTACTTCAAACTTTTTGCCTTAGCTGCTCACTCCCGTTGGTCATGTCATTAATACTGGTGATCTTTCATTTCTCTATCAAATCCCAGAGAAAATTCCAGAATTGAGAAAAAAAAGGTTGTTTGCTATTGTCAAAACTAATATTACAGTACCAAGTTTAGAATTTGGACTAGAACTGATAAAGCTAATAAAACCTGTCTGTTCTTCTGGTTCTGCCCTACAGCCTGCTTTTATGTTCTTCTGCTAACATTGAGGTTAAGGTATTAAATTAGACTAATTTCTTGCAGTTGACAAGGTTGCATCACAATTAGAACGAACTTAGCCAAGCAGGAAATGCTACCCTAGGCAGCTGTTGGCAAAGACAAGGTCAGTGAAACAGAGAACAGAGAGGAAATTCATATGAACAACATTAAAATTAAATGGTGATAAGATGTCTGAATTGTCTAGAATGAAGGCTTTGTGATCTTTTAACAGCACTTTCTAAAGGTCACCACTAGAGATATAATTAAGTGTAGCTAATGCGAGTGCAAGTAGTCAGGTTGTAAAATCAAAAAAAGCTGATTGTGACTGGAAGAAATTTGTTTGGGAGTTTTTTTGGTCAATGTCAGTTCTATTATATTTTGAGAATTGAGAACAGATATTTTTAAGAGGTATTTCAGCGGTACCAATTACAAAAAAAGCAGACTTTGCTACTATTATTAGAAGAGGTCATTTGCTTGACTCTCTGGAATAGCCAGACATGGTGGACTTTTCTCTAGGGCTGATTCAGAAGAGGTGGGAATGGAACACCAGCTCTCTTGCTGTAGGTAGTATGGCACTTATTTTCCTCTAGTTCAAGAATACACTACTGTTTTAGTTTAATGACAATCACCTTGTGATGTACCCCAATAATGAAACCACTTCAAAATCATCATCTTTGTTTCCAGGGTGATTATTTGCTCCTTAATTATGTGACCTGTTACTAAAGTGCTTTATTGGCATTACACATTCCATTGTGCTTACCTAAAAGGCTGTCCAATTTATTAACAGTGTTAATGGAAAAAAGATTCCTAAGTAATTGCAAAATGTTCTTAACTATTTTATCTTAGTGATGTTTAGTGTAGCATTTACCCTGGTATTTTGTGAAGCTACTTCAATGTTGTTTTTGATAATGATATAGCTAGAAAGTAGATCTATTACTTTATTTTTTAAATGAGATTGAAAATATTCGTGTATTTTGAGTCTTTTGCATCATCTGCTCTGCTTGACCTTCATTTGAAAAAGGACATCACCTCTCTGGAGAATTTTGTTATTTCTACAGCATGCCACGAGATGTCAGTGTTTCAGAATATTACTTTGGTCACAATCTGCTATTGAAAGCCCCATTCTGTGTTCTGTATTGTTTAAGGTTTAATAGCTGCAGTAATTTTTGATATTTTTGGATTAATAATATAAACTGATGGAATCACTCCCAACTAGAAATGGAACACAAATAATTAAAAAAAAAAAAAAGAGAGAGAAACATAGACATGTCCCCCTGAAACCACATTTTTATTCCTTTCTTAAAAAATGGTACCTTGAGCAAATCTTTGTGGGTTTGGTCTGTAGTGGGTACTTAATCACTCCTGGAGTTTTGACTTATTGGGTTTTCTGAATTAGAAACGGCACTACAGTTCCTGGGTTTAGTGAGAACCAGTAGCTAAGTCAAGCCCAGGTCTGATACTGCATAGCTTGAGAAAGAAAAGACTGATAATCTGGAGGTTTAAAGCTGGGGAATTCACTTCCTTAAATTGAAAAATCATAGTAGTTAGCAGCACAATGCTGCAACTGTCTGAATGTAAAAGTTTTATGTCAGTGGGGGCAGGGGAGAGGGAGTGAAAGGGCAGTGGGTGAACAGGTGGCAATATAATCTTTCTAAGGTCCCAGTTAAAATTCAAATACATATCTTTTGCAGCAAAGTGGTATTAAGTATTTTTCCCTCAGGCTTTAGTAACCTCTCTGCAGCTCTAAATTAGCTTCCTGAAGGTGAAAATACACAATGAAATGTTCCATTTTGAGAGTAATTTCTCAGGTAGGTATACTACTAATAAGTAGATAAAGCTGTCACACAAGCTGCAGTAAAGAATTGGGAACATTGACTCTAAGATACGCTATTATTAGACCCGAGGCACATTTTTTTTAAAGGGAATATGAAATTCTTATTGTCCTCTAGCAAGTGGAGTACATAAAAACAAATTAGTATATATTGTATATGATATACATGGAATGCATCATACAGTATTTATGGAAAAAATAATGAAAAATCAGACAATATTGCCAAGCATGATTCAAATGTGAGCCTGATAAACCAAAAACATTAAAAGCAATTTACATTTCATATTCTGGAAATAAAAGAAGTATATTCAGTTAGAGCTAGCTCTGGTAGCATCACCAAGGCAAAGACACATTGGTTTTTTAGTAGAGGTTATGTTTTTAATGTCCATCATTTGGTGTATATTCTCTCTCACTGCTAAAAAAGGCAAAACCATTTTCAAAAAAGAAAAGAAAAAAAGAAAAATTTTTCTTTCTGGTAATGATGTAAGGACTCCAGGTCATGAGTCTAATGCCCTATTTTTTTGCACCATTTAGTCTTACGAAATAACAACTACTGTCTTCTGCAGAAAGATTCTCATTTGCAGTTCTTCCTTAACACTATGTTTCCTCAGCATAGATTTTTTTTTTTTATAGCAGAACAGTGCTTGCCCAAAGTGCACATGTGCTCACCCAGTCACTGGCCTACAGCAAGTGGGGTGCGTTCACTTGGTGCTCACCAGAGTCTCACCTGCATTTTCTACATGCATCTCCTGGCTTTTGAGTCCATAATTTCACTTCCTTCCTTCTGAAATGGTAAGTCAATTGTGAATACACAGGGAAGGAAAAGGAATAATGAAAATATAACTTCTTCTATGTGCACATACTCTAATTTCAAAATACCTGCTTATTTTATGCATCTGTCTCTTCAAGTAACTGTTGTCAGCAAAAAAATACTTCAAATTACCCTCTCTATATATTTCTTTATAAAAAAAAAATCACTAACTAAGATGTCCTGAAAGGCAACAGAATTTATCTATATTCCACTGTCGCAGAAAAGGAAACTGTAATAAGTAGTTCAGCAGACTCTGAAGCATCCAAAAATGCTGTGGTGATTGTTAATCAGTTTGGTTTATCTGCAGAAGTGTGCTTCAGCTTAGAAAGGAATATATGAATAATTCACCTTATCTGCTGCTTACTGCTATCTGCTGTTGATCTAACATGCAAAAGGAAATCGAGCTGAGATAGCCACTGTTGTTTGGATTTGTACCAAATATTTTCTTATTCAACCGCTATTAAAAAAGATTTTGATGTGCCTAAGTTTATTCTCCAGAGCAAGTTTCCTACTTCCACTGCTCACTAACAGCTGAGGGTTTTCATGCTCCGTGTTTTCAGCTATAATAGTCAATACAACTTAGTACAAAATTGTAATGTCATGGATGGCTGTACAATTTCACTGTTTCAATCAGCAACAGGAAGCTATTGAACTCGAGGAAAAACATGACTTTCACAAAGGCTCTGCTAATATTACAACAGGAGAGTAATAAGGAAACAAGTAATTTCAACATGCACCACTGACTTACACTTACACGAACAAACATACAGATACATCTACGTACCTTTAAAACACTATGCATTTCCTGTACTGGAATGGTTCTTTCAAGGATTTTGGATAATTTGTATCAGGTGCCTCTTGATTTGCTTGGAATTGTTTACTATAGAAGAAAAAAAATTGAAATACCTGAAAATAAGCAGAATTACTTATTTTTTCTTTTTTTTTTTCTTTCTTTGTTTTCCCTTTTTTTTTTTTCTTTTTTCCCTGTATTGATATGATTGGATTCCCTGTGGCACAAAAGGGTTGTTCTTCAAACATACAATTTCCTGTGGAGCCCTAAGCAATCAGTGTTCAGTGAACTGCTTCTGCCCTAAAGCTCAGAGGGAGAAGTTACTTAGGCTTGAAACAGTCTTACATTGTTGGCATCTTTTCGAGGAGCATCATGTACAGTAAGAGCCCTCATGTGACCTCTGTGGTATCTGTGAAACATCAATACGTCATAGCTGCATGTCCTGGGGCTGTAAAGTGTCACTGGTGTGCACTGGGTCCTCATCTCGGACACAGCTTACATGCATTTGGAAATTTTGAAGAATGGCCCTTAACCTGAAGTGCTGTACTCCAATGTGCTATTTTGAGAATGTTTTCTAATAAACAAATAACACTCTTCACCTAGAGACATTAGGCTGTAGATGTTCTGCTAAGTAGAGCAGCTGAAAGAAAGTCTGTGACTTACAAATTAAGTGTTAACATTGAATATTCATGATAGCAAACCTTAATGGGTCCTTCCCAGGAGATCTGCTCGCTGAACCTCAGCACTTAGGCTGTGACCCTGACTTGCTTCAGCTTAATGATAGTCTACAGAAACAGCACAGGCTCAAAAGCAGGACTTAAAGAATTTTTTCAACTTTATCCCCACGCTAGGTTATTTGTAGCTTCCATCTGCTGCCTTCACTCGTCCATGTGGAGGCAAAGCTGTGACCATATTCCATGCAGGAATTCAAAGTGTCCTGTCCTGCCCCTACTGTGCTATCATTACTACTGTAATGGTCAAGCTATAAATATATATAAAATGTGTTTGCAATCTTGTTATATTTCAATAATTTTTCCCTTCCCTAAAATCTTTGATAATTGTCCTGCAATATCTATTCCTGATGTGAAGTACCTTTATCTTTGGTTTTGAGACTGACATTCACAATCACCCATTTCTGAAAAGTACAGAGAGTATCAGTTCCTTCTACAAGGCATTGCAAACTGCACCTTGCCACTCAGACTAGATGATTCAAATCAAGATCAGGCCACTAGCCCTGCCTCTACATCCTAAATGATAACAGTTAAACACTTTCCTGTGTTGGCTGAAAATAGGAAAAATATTGAAAAACACCCTAAGCAAATGCTAGTATCCCTGAATTTTGGCTTATTGTGTCTCTCCTTCATTTAAGAGCCAATCTACCTATTTCTTTTAGTTTTGCCAGGCAAAGCTGAGATCCTCATTATTATATCCTCAATTTGGTTCTCCTTGCCTTTGCACTGTGAAGTGTAAAAAATACTTTACAAGAAATCTTTTTTCATATTTTTCCCATAGAGTGGGTGAATGTAGGGAGTAGAAGCAAACCTCCCTGGCATATTTAGCGACAATCCAAATTAAGAAATGCATATAATGAAAGTTCAGTACTCTCAAATATATAATAGTTTTAAACAATAAATTAAATCTGGTATCTTTCTCAGCTTTCAGTGAGCTTGCAAAGTACTCCTGTTACCAGGGTTCATTACCATATAAAACCTTTCATTATAAGTAAGTTTAAGAACCTACCATCCTTTCCATCACAACTCTGCAAAGTTTTAAAACTCAGCTATAAAATTTCAGAAATAGACAAGCTGGTTCACAAGGTCACAGATAGCAAGCATCCTTTTTCTATATTTTTAGGGAAAATAATTTATGCACTTTTAAAAGCACCAAGGTTGGCCTTTCTGCTGCTGAAATCTGTTTTTAATGCTGACACAGAGTTACAGCTTAGAGTGATGTGGAATGAAAATGCAGACCACAGTGAGAACAAGAAGAAAGATAGTCTATTCTTTTGAAATAGGAACTCATATTCCCAACCTATTACTCTAGTTAGTGGGTTTGTCGCTGCTGTTGTTAATTGAGGCCAATATTGTGAGGATTATTAAACGCTTTGGGAGCAGAAGCTATAAGTACTTTTGACAAATATTTGACATCGTAAATTGGATTCTCTCTATACAAAAGAAGAATTGCACTTATTTTTTTGTTGTAGTAAAACTACTTTTAGAATCATAGAATCATCAATGTTGGAAAACACTTAAAGATCATCCAGTCCAACTGTCCACCCAGCATTACCCCTTTAACCTCTGAACTACTAAATCATATCACCCAATACTAGATCCAGATGCCTCTTGAACAGCTCCAGGTATGGTGACTCCACCACCTCCCTGGGCAACCTATTCCTATACCTGACCACTCTAACGATGAAAATTTTTTTCTAATATCTATACTGAAATTTCCCTGTCTCAGTTTAAGGTCATTTCCTCTTATCTTCTCACTGCAGGCATAGCAGAAGGGATTGTCCCTACCTCACTACAACCTCCTTTCAGGTAGTTGTAGAGAGGGACGAGTTCCCACCTGAGCATCCTCTTGTCTAGGACAAACAAACCCAGCTCCCTCAGCCATTCCTTATAAGAAGTTTTCTAGACCCTTCATGAGCCTGTTACCCTTTTCTGAACAGCTGATTTCTATCACTCTTTATTGAGTATGAGCTTGATAATATACCTGGAAGATATAACTGAGAATCTAACTGATGTTTTACCATTGATGTCAATAGACGTTCATCAGCTTAGAAGTGTGCAACATGAAAAAACAAAGAATCACAGAATCAAAGAATAGGAAGGGACCCACGAGGATCACCAAGTCCAGCTTCTGGACCCACACAGGACTATCCCCAAGAATCACACCATGTGCCTGAGAGTACCATCCAAACGCTTATTGAACTCTGTCACCTTGGTGCTGTGACCACTTCCCTGGGGAGCTGTTCCAGCATCCAATCATCCTCTGGGTGAAGAACCTTTTTCTGACATCCAACCTGAACCCCCTCTGACACAGCTTTAGGTCGTTCCCTCAGGTCAACACTGTGTGTTTCAGCATCCATAGACAATGGGTTTCTTCATTCATCTTGGTGAAGCTGCCCTATTTACACTAGGAAGCTTCTGGACTCAAGCTATAGCCTAGTCAGGATACTGTGCATAAATGATGCACAGTATCAGTTTTCCATACAGATGTTCTCAAAAAAGCCTCCAAAGTAGGTCACTGGCCTTTTTAAAATAACCTTGTAATATTGCTTTATCATTTAACTGCAGTAATTCCTAGAAAGCTCCAACATACTTTACCTCTCCAAATGGACAAGGGTACACTACAGGCTGTGGGAAACTGCAGTGTACTAATCATGTAGACTAGGATGGAGGGAGGTAGTGAAGACAGCAGTCACGTCAGATAGCATTAATAAACACTTAGGAGAGTTGAGCTTTGAAGTCAGCTTTGAAGGAGCTGGCTATTGATCAGGCAAATCAGTGAAGGGATTAAGGAAGGGGCAGCATGAAGCTCAGGTGCTGTATCTCCTCAATGCCAGTGTACTTAACTCTAGTAAATAATTGCATGATGTCTCACAATCCATATGTTTTACCATGAAAAGCTGTGATCAGATACACTTTGTTTAATCTTTTTAAATAGCTGTCAGTCAGAAAACAAAACTCGTTTGGATTAGTAAATAATCTTTTCAAAGTCATGTTGAAGATTACTGTAAGAAGGGTTATTCTTTTCTTTCAATAAGGCAAGCATTCACATCCTGTTTGGATGTTGAACCCAAATACAGAAGACACTTACTCCTCCCTTTTATCCTGCAGTAGTAATGATTGAACTCCCTCATTTGTAATTTAACAGTGCTCTGTGTAGTGTGTTCAAAGTAACATTGATGTAAAAGTTTTTAACACTCAAATAAGCATCTTTCAACTGAATGGAGTGTTTACACTGAGTTAATTTCTTCATCAACTTACCATTACTATGACTAAACCACCAGGAAAATTAAGACACCAGTTAATAATTTTTTCGAGACTGCACAAGTGGCATTTAAAGCGAACAATCTTTACTTCCTTTAATTTTTAACATAACTTGAAAAATTGGCTTGTCACCTCTCAAACAACTGAAAAACAGAGTAACAACAGTAAATGATAATGAAACAGCGGTAAGATTGTGCATGAACTGCCCAAACCAAGATAATGTAATATTGAGATATCTTGCTTTGAGTATTTCAATGTCTATAAATGGAGGGGAAAAAAATGGAATCACCATCCCTGGATGTGTTCAAGAAATGTGTAGATGTGGCACTTGTGGTTTAGTAGTGAATACGGCTGTTCTAGTTTGATGGTTGGACTCCATGATCTTAGAGATCTTTTCAAACTTAAACAATTTTATGAGTCTATGATACTTCCATGTCTTCTTTCATGGTATTTCACCAGTGCTGGCAAAGGAGAAAGAGGCACTCTCAAAACAAAGAGGAGACTTCTAGCCTTCTTAAAATAGTCTTATATTCTTCAAAATTTCTGTGAAATTTAATAAAAATCATTGCAGCATTCTGAATATTATCTGAATGAATGAAAATAGCAGAAAGAACCCCAATGCTGGATTTCTTTGTATCATTGTATAATAGTCCTGTTTCCATGTTCCACTCTACTTTTTAGTATGATTTTTAGCTTAGGATTTCTTTTAAAACTGGTCATGTAATGTTTCAACTGCTGTTGTTTCTCTATGATTTTTTTTAAAATTGATAATATAGAATAAACTCATGTCAGAAATGTCTGTGCTCTGCCTGGCTTTATTTTTTTATAATGATGCCTAAAGATTTGTAGCTTTATCTAAATGTTAGTGTAGTTGTGTAGTTTTCTTTCACTTTGGACAGTTACTTTCACATAGTTTGTGTGTCACATTTCTGAGTTTTGGTTTAACTATCTTTTAACCATCTTTTCAAGGCAATAGACTTTAGCAGCGACATTCTGTTGAGATGTGCACCTGGACCAGAATAATAAGATATATAGTAGAAAAAACTAGATATGATATATGTGGGTGCGCACCTATGTATTATGTGCACCTGAAGGCCTTCATTAAAGAGCTGCTCTCTATCTTATCTATATTAACATTGTTTGGAGAATTTTTTTCTTTCATTTTAAGCATCAATACCAATTATTGTTTTGTTGGCTGTTAGATTCCATCCAGTAACGTTGATATGTATATGCCAAAGAAATTTTGGCTCAGCTCTTCAGACAAACTGAAATTGTGGTAAGATTTAATCTCATTTCACTTGAAATTCATTTAATTCACACTCCTAATTTTAAGATACAGCATAGAATTTAGTTAGGAGATTTCAAAGTCCCTGGTTACCTTAAGAGTTTCTCCTTGTGACCTTACATGAAAGGGTTATTTAAGAGTGTTGCACAACTTCCTTGGCTGTGTTCAGGTTGATGCTATGTGCAGAACAAGATTTGTTTCAAGTAAGGATAATGGTTCTCTTGGGAGAGAAAATGGCTGGTCCCTAGTTTTGACGTGATTTATGTCCAATACAGAGATCACAAAGACAAAAATAAAGCTTTCATTTGAAATGAGGAAGATATCTACTGCCCTTGAGAAAATACTGTGCTATAATCCTTGTTTTCTGTTACCTTTCTCTTTTTTATATATACATATATTTAAAAAATAGCTAGCAAGATTCAGACACTTAATCAAGTAAGAAGCTCTAGCTGAGCTGTATAGTCTCTCTTTCAGTGCTACCTGATATGACATGCTCCTTTCCCCAGCACCTGATTGCATCCAGTACCTGCACTCTCCAGCAATGGCTCTGCCTTGCCCCTATGGTTTACAAAAGCTGTCATGATTGCCGTGTCAAACAAATTAATGTACACATGCACTTCTTTAACGCTATGTACCAGCCCATGGTACAAGTGAGAATGTGATGCAGGAATTAAAATGTGGTTCAAATAATCTCACTGTTGCTAGAGCATCTAAGAGCATGTGCACAGTTTCAGTGGTTCATCTGGTGTTCAGTGGCCTTTCAGGTAACAATGAACCGGGTCTATGTCTTATTTTGCATGGGATATGTATATAAGAAAGATTCAGATTTTGTGAAGAACAGCTTGGCTTTTGTGGAGTGATGGAAACATAATAGCTAACTCTTTAGTAACCTGTGGAGGAATTTGCTGGGAAGAGTTTACGTGTGACAGTGGAGATAATAATTTTAAAACCTGACTCTTATCACAGGAATTAAGGCTGCCAGGGACTAAACTTCAGCCATCATGTCCACAATTCAGATGCACCATACCTTAATCTCAAATAAGGAATCAGAACTGGAATATATAATTTTGTTTTATGTTGAAGATCACCTACATTTTTCAGTTATCTGCACTTTTCATGACATGGGACTTGGGTGTGTGTCCCACAAAAGTAACAGCTAAAAATCACAAGGTAAGTGGAGATTCAAATTTTTGATGCAAATTTGTTAGAGAAATAAGACACACTTTACAAAATAACATAATTTAAGAATTTACAATGTGAAGTTGCTTAGATGAAAAAAATCTTAATACAGTTCATACTTTTCATTTTGTATAATTCCCTTTGACAAGAAAAGCTTTTTCTCTAGCTTATTCTGTTTATTCAAAATCAATGTCTACAGTAAACTGCCAAATTGTCACATTACTTTTATTTTTTAGTAATCCCAAATTATTACTATGTTTAAAGTACATAGGAATAAAGACTGAAAGGAATTTCAGGGATCATCTAGCCCAATATTCCACATTTGAAGGCTTTTACATCATAATATTTTTCATAAACTTTACAAACTTCATATAAAATGAGCTTCATTTTGGCCCACAAAGTTCCTTACAGAAAACTTTCCAAATCCTCATTTCTCTGATAGTTCAACCCAAGTGTGTTCATGGCTGCTGAATATGCATTTGCTCTCCTGTCAACATTGTTCTTACCTTGAATAGACTTTCTCCCTCTCTGCAATTTGCCCATATTAATGTATTTATAGAAAACAATTATATATCCTCTCAGTCTTTGTTTTACTGGGCTAAATCCTCATGCCTCTGAGCTCTCATAATCTCTCCTGTTAAAGTAGGCTCTCTTGGTGTAAAGTTATTGCATAATTGTCTTTACATTTTTTCCACATTCTAAAAATACCCATAAGATCACCAAGTTGTTTTTATTGTTTGATTTGTTTGGGGTTTTTTGACTTTTTTTTTTTTTTTGAGTGGGGGAAGGGATGTTTAGGGTAGTCTTTTAAAAACATATCAACCTTTGTGAAAAATATTTGTCTGTTAAAGTATACAAGTGCATCTGTATTTTATCCTTGGCTTGGAATCAAGAAAATATTGTGATCTTTTTGCTTAGTCATTTTCAGTTGGTGACAGCCAGATCATTAGCAAAAATCTCTTGATTAGTCCATTCTGATTAGATATCCATATCACAAACCTAACTAATTTTTGATAGAGCTTAAAAGCATAACTTGTACTCAAACTAAAAAAAAAAAAATCTTAATGACCTTGATCTTTGATACTTCACTGTGGTGATGCCTGTAGGAATACACTCCTCCCTTGTATATCCTTCTTCTATTTTGCACTATGACCAAGGTTTACAAAGGGGCAAGTACCTTTGTTCAGCTGTACTGTTATGTCTGGCATCTCCAATGAGCTATGTGGAAAGGTCCTAGCAGGGAGCATGGAATTTGACAACTGAACCTTGTCCTCAAATCCCAGTCTGATCTCCATCTGCCTCTGGCAAGACTACACTTCTCATTCTCAAGCCTTCATTTCTGGAGATGGTATCAAATGACACTTTGAGCAGAAATAGTATCCCTTGTGTGCCTATATATATGTGAATCTGAACAGAAAAAGTATTCCAGGGCTTCTGGATGCCATTACCTTTCTATCTCTCAGGTTAATTTGTATATTGTTTCAGTTATCTTTTCACCTTCACCTCCTCTCCTCTAACTGAAAAGTAAAATACAAAATCTGTAAACACTGAGTGCAGACCCCATTATATACTTTACTGAGCTTTGGCTCAATTGTCTACTTTTAATCAGAACACCAACCTAGGATGTCATGATTTTTACTTCTGCCTTTCAAAACTAAGAATTTAAAATTAATCCTTTGAAATTAAAATTACCATAGAAAATTCTACTGACAGAACTACACATGAAAGTTGCACCAGATTACCTTAGCTAAGTTTATTTAATATGTTGAACTGCTCCACTACTTGTATCTGTACTTATTCTAACTCTGCTTTGATTTAGCTGAAAGTGACTGCCTCTAGGTTTAAATCTAACTGCAGCAATACACTGTATCAGTTAAGAAAAAGAGAATTAAATCACATCTCTTCTAGTCAATTACTGGGGGCAATGTAGTCCTCTTGTTACTCATGTTTAGTTTGCTATGATCTTCACAGATTAGAAGAGACACACCAACACCTATCCTAATCACATACTTTCTTCCTAGTGCCTGGTTCCTAATGGTTTTGGGAAACAGAGAAGGTAAAAGCCATGAAAATGTCACAAAGCTACGATGCACTGGGAATAGTTCAAAACAGAGTCCAAAAGTGGTGACCAAAGTGCAGAACAAAAAGTAGGAGAAGAGCAAAGGTTCTCTGTATCTGGCAATTCCTTTGAACTCTCACCACAATAAAACAGACTTTAAAGGAGAGTACAGAGGTCAGGAATTGCCATGTTTTCCTTACAACTGAACCATCACAAAAACTGCCACAACCAAGAGCCATTTATTTAATTCTGTGCTCACTGCTTGTTACTGACAGGGCTGATAGAAAAGCTGGGGTTATTTTGCTACTGTGTTTGCTGATCAGCTGATGAGAAGTGCAGATGACAGACAGTATTCAGGCAACTAATCCTTAAACTAAGAACATACATGATCTAAGAAACAACATCTGTAAAGAAAAAGAGATGGTTTGTGCTAAGATAAGGTATGCATGTGCAAGGCTTGGACACTGTAACTTCTTGGATAAATGGACATTGATCAATTTTAAGTCATAGTGACAACTTCCACCAGTACAGGTACAGCCAGCAGATCTCCTAACACTGGAGAAATCCTTTCTGTAAGAAGGTCGCTTGGTGGTTTCTGTGTCACAAGATGAATGCCATTGTTTGGATTAATAAAAAGACCATTACATGACAGAGCTCTGCAAGCTTCATGAAGGTTTGAAGTCTCAAAATGAGGAAGTCTCCCTAAGCCTTTTCATCTCTATAATAGAAAAAGGTATCCTGCAAATTAGTACTCTGATACTAACCACACTGGAAGATTCATCACCTGAGATGGCCTAAGAGGCGGAGTTTGAGGCTGATAGGGGCAACCTTCACTGTTTAAACAGGTAGATCATGATGGGAGTCAGTGCTGAAGCTCAGTGATCTCTGTCCTCATTAGGCTCAGATAAATAAACTAGGCTGATGAGTGTAGAGAAAGATTGTTTTGCCTACGATTTCTGTGATCCATGTTCAGAACACAAGGAGATAGTCTGCTCAAAAAAGTGGGAGGTTAGCCTGAACAACGTCTGGGAATTGCACCTCTTTTGTATTTATATGGAAGCAGCAATGAAAACAACATAAAATAGATCCATTTTAGAATTTGACAAAGTAAAGGAAATTTAGGAAGGGAAATTCAGACTGCATCACGTCTTGAAAATCTCATATTTAATGAATTCTAGAGGCAAAAAGGTAAGTCACGCTGGAGATCTCTTAATGCCCATGACCTTAAGCAGAGAATTGTATTTGGATGGATCTCGTCTGGCGGGTTAGGCTGCTACTTACCAGCTTGTAGAGACTTGCTAGTTGAATATTGGCATAGCTTGGTAGGAAGATTTAAAAGTCATGCTGACAAGAAAAAATGCTCAAAATGCTTTTGTTTACATTAGGTGACACTTTTTAAAAAAATAGATCAAAGACAGAATGACTCTGCAATCAAAAAGAAATTTTTGTAAAGTGCTTTTACATAATAAAAAAGCTTATTTAAATGACAAGAGATATAAATAACTCAGGGTTACAACTAACAGATGAAAGTGAAGTGTAATAAGTTGCAAAGAAAAACTAATAATACATCCGTAAATGGGTTTAATTTCTTTGAAACAGAAAGGAAAGAAAAAGAAAACAATACTTGTGAAAAGAGATTTGAAACATAGAGCCAAATAATTTTGTCGCAGTCCATTTTAAAGTCTTTTTGTTAAAGAGAAAAAAGGGAAGAATAAGCAGAGACTAGGAATAGAAGGAAGAGAATAATCTTCCCAAATATTTGCTGTATTTTTGTCCTGTGTTTTTTATCATTTTTTGGCTTCAGGTTTTAGTCTGTAGCTTTCAAAATGGTGTGGAATGCCGAAGTGGCTTAGTAGAGTAAGGTTGATGAACAGATTTCATCATTAATAAAATACTCTTTGTGACTAATAATCCCTTCAAAAGGAAGAGCTTTCAAATATATTCAAGATCTTCCTCTCTTTGGAATTTTCATGATTAGGAAAGCATTTTCCAAGTGGGAAATTCTGGATCCCTTTCCCCACCCACGACGTGGGGCGGCCCAGTTCTAGTTCCGTTTCCATCTGAAGAACTATTGCGACGCTTTGAAGGATGGGGAAAGGGAACTCCAGGGGTTTCTCAGGGGTCTCTTCTGGCCCTGAGCCTGGAGGGGAGAGGCGCTCCCCCCTCCCCCCCCGCACGTGGCCCCATGGCTGGCAGGGAGACAGGACACTGGGCGTGGAGAGGAGGCAAGAGAGAGTTTATTGTGGGGGATGTTACATTTATAGGGTTTAGGAGGATTCACAAAGTAACCAATTAGAAGTCTCAAGGGGCTTACAGGAACACCCAATCACAAGAAGAGGTTAACAAAGGCCAATGGGAAACACCTCAGGACACCTTCCCAGGACATACCTGCATGGATAACATGGGGGGTGCTGGGAAGAAGAAGCATGTGTTTGCAAAGAGACCACCAAAAGCCATTTTAAGACATGTTTAAACAACAGTTTTCCCATATAATGCAGGTTTAGTGCTACAGGAAATATTTTGTATTTTGTATTTTCCTTTTATTTTCAGATCGGAAAAACTGCTAATAAGTGGAAAGCAAACTCCATGGGGACTTCTCTGAAACAATATAATGGAGAAAAAATAGCAGTTTCTACATGGTTTTTTTTTTAATGTCTGGATGTGGAAGGTATACTTAACTATAAATATTTAAATAAACAGTTCTCAAAACAAAATTTAGAAAAAGTGATCATTTTGCATCATTCAAAGAAATTCAGTTGGATTTTCATGAAAGCAATTCTTTGATTGGGAAAAACATGCAATTTAGATGTTCATAATTGTTTCAGTACATTTTTTACCTTTTTTTCAATTACTTGCATAATTTAATTCACTTTCTCTTCATGTATGACTTTATGAATTAAATCTGATAAATATAGTTAACTACAGTCTGCATATGTGGACTATGATTTCTGGTAGAACATGATCTTCAGCATATATGCCTCCTCAGCTCTTTTCATAAAGAAAAAAGTTTGAGTTTTTTTGGTAGTGGATTTGTCTACTAGAAAAAGATGACTGAAGGAAGCATCTCCTACTGAGGCCACTCAGTTCAAATTTTCCAAGTGAAAAAAGGTCCTACAGGAAAATAATTGCTGTCTTTTCCCATCTTTTCCCTACTTTTTAAAAAACTGCTTAAGTTGGAAAATCTAGGTTTTAGACTGGATCTGTGGTGTGTACACGGAAAACCTACCATGTTTTTATCTCAGATTTTTCACCAAAAAATCTACAATTTTCTGTTTTCCTGAGCTCAGGAAAGCAATTACATTTGTAATACAGCTGATCTCAGAGGCCTAAGATAGGTGAAAATCGGAAATAATTGAACACTCTGTTCCATGTTATAGTATAGAAGCTTAACTTACTTTCAGAACCACACAGAAATTTTTATCTGAGGGGGAAAAAGTTGGGAGATGGCTTAATGCTGACTTGAAAAACTGAGAAGAAATAAAACTATAGATCAAAATTAGAAATTAGATCAAATACCATCAGACCTCTCAAAGGTAGACTTTGACACAATCTGATTTTATTATTTGATAAAATATCTGTTTCTTTATACAGATAAAATACATAGGATTTATTAGTGTTGTTGTATGATAAATCATTTTCTTCTGGGCATTAGTATAAGAACTATGAGAAATATAAAGAAAAATAAGCATAGTTTGTACTGATAATATAATGTGAAAAAAATCAGAACATTTGGGGGGATATATTTTTTATATTATTTTTATCAATGGTAGTAGAAAAATGCTAATTTCCTAATGAAATATATTAATGGCACAACTGTGTTCTCCTTAAAACTAAAAAGACTTGGATTCCACACACTTCTTCCTATGCCCTAGGCATATAACATATAATATTAATAACAGAGTGATCAGTAATCAATATGAAGTAAAAGAGATGATTTTTAAAAACAAGACTTTTTTATATAGGCTAGGAGCTCACTGCATGTAAGCAGTTGAATAGGAACTAGACTTCCTTGGTTAACTGCTTATGGAGTAACTGTTGGTTTTGAAAAACACACGGCTATGAAAAAAGGCAATTGTTTTAAGTCAGGTAAGATACATCCAGAAAAGATACAGAATAAAAATAAAAATCTGTTTGTGGAAGGTTGACATAATTCCACCTGAAAGAAACTATTTTAGTTAGATGTCATCATCCAATCTTCAAGAATTATTAAGAGTGAAACAGATATAGAGGAATATATCTAAGCACTAAAACTAGAGGATCTATTTTTATTACTACTTCTCTTGTATGGCAGAATGAGGCAATGACTAGGAGAGGAAAGACTTCTTTGGTTTTTGTTCTAATAAAACTGTGAAATTTATGCACCCGTCCACCACACTCACAATCAGATTTTGTTTTTAAAATTTGTGGTGACAGCTGTGGTCTGCAAGAGAAGACTTTATTCTGGTATTTTACCTTCACATAAAATTCATTCAGTGTCATTATAACCTGCGCCTTTACTGCACTCTGGTCCTAGTAATGTCGTTGATTCTGTATTCATGTAAATAACTGCATTAATAGATTAGATTGACCATAACTAGACTTCAATGTTGCACCATACAAATGGTCTTTACCTTTTAAAATTTATTAATTTTATTTTGTAGTTGATGCTTTGGCCTCATGAGACAATATTTCCTGAAATGCAAGAGGTGAATTTTGGGTTGAGCTTCTATATACATCAGGTACTACAACCTGATAAATCTTAGCAGTACTTCTCCATTATGTTTCTGAAAGTTTCATCTCACCATTCTACCATGTCTATGTTGTTCCCTGCCACAGCTCGTAGGTGAAAGGGAATAGGATAGGGCACTGCAGCAAGGACTAGGACACAGCTGAGGGTGAGGAAGCAATGCCAGCTTTATTGAGGGGAACACGGGCTTATATAGGATAGGATCAGGGGCTGGACTCAGGCAAGGGGAGGAGAGAAGGATTGACAGGTCAGGAAAGGTAGGGATTGGGCTTCAGGAGGGGAATGGGTGGCAACTCTTGGGTATCTAGGGGAAAGGGCCAATGGCAGCTGCCTCTGCACTGCACCAAACAGTGGCCAATCACAGGCAGAGGAGCGGGAAAGCAAGGGAGAGCAACAGGCTCTGGTGGGAAAATCATGAGGGAAGATAAAGACAACATGGAGAATGGGATTTTTAAAACAACAATCAGGGGTATAAACATCCATTAACCACATGACAATAAACTGAGGATAACTGGGGATAACAGGGGTAAACTTTTCCAGTCCAGGTATAGCCTTTTCAGGCATATAAGGTCCATTTCAGTGATGCAAGTCCATTTATGGATTGTAAATCTTCCTCCATGCCTCAAAACGCTCCCATTCGTCCCTGTTCACTTCATCATCATCTCCAACAGTTCCCTCAAGTGCTGTGCATTTTTGTGATCTTAAAAAAAGATGATTTTTATGGGAAACTTGCCATTCTAAAATTTCTTGGGGATACTAGGTGCAGTTGGCATGTTGTAGTTTCTAAGACCGGTTAATTATGAGGATGCTATTTCACCCTTGGCTGAAAAATTTGATGTTCATGGCCCTCAGGGTAAGCAAGTTAAGACCTTGCTGTCATCACTGGTCTGCTTTTAATTGCACTTTCAGAATTCATAGAACAGTGCATTATGTCTGGTCCCAGTGCATTTTCAAAATGACATTACAGTTCTGCAGCCTAAAAGACCATATTCTCTTCTTACGCGAAA